TAATATTAATTAGTTTTATGTCCATTTATATCTGTTTTCATCCGACATATCTGATTTTACCCGGAATGTCGGTTTTTATCTGCAATTGCGGGTATAAATATTATCCGTGAACGTCGGGTTTTATCTATTTAGTTCTATGTCTGCTTTCATCTGGTTTCATCCGCAAATACCTGTATTTGGGTTTATATCTGCATTCACCCGGTTTTATCGGATTTTATCCGCAAACATCTACTTTAATCCGCAAACGTCTGCTTTATCCGATTTCACCTGCAAACATCCCAGGCAACACAGGGTCGTAGAAATCACGTAGAATCGTCGACGAATTGGGTCGAATTTGGTCGAAGTTACATTTCAACCATTTTTCGACGTCTCAAAATTCACCAAAACACGACCAATTATTAACTTAGGTCGATGATAACCAATAAATGACGTTATTATCACGTGAACAGATGACGAAATTTTTAAGAAAATATGAAAATATAGTGATAATTAATAAGAAACAGTTGGCCCGTTTTAATGGGCCGACAAAAAGTTTTGGAATATTTTTAAAAACAAAAATTATTATTTTTATTTAATTTTCGTTATTTCGACGGAGAATCAACGTGCAATATTTTATTAAAATAATTTTAAACATTATTTGGTTTTAAACTAATTAAGATAGATTAATAATTATTGGATCAATGGATTTTTTAAAACAAATTCGCGATTTTTAAATCCTTTATCATTTCATTACAAAATAAGAAATTAACATGTTACTGCAATTGACAATCACAATTTTAATTTTAGTATAATTATTTATCTACAGTGTTGCCAGATGTTTTATAATTTTCTTTTTTAAAATAGTAAAGTTTAAATAATAATCGATAATTGTAACATAATTTAATCCGCCGCGTAGTTTTGCTTGTTTTTATACAATTTTTGTTTTGATAATTTTATATAATTTTCTGTAAATTTGATCATTTTGTCAACCCTCTTCGATAATATTAATTTTTACACCTGGCAACCCTGTTTCTCTTTGACACTACTTACAAAGCGAGGGAACGTTTATTCCTAAAAAACAATATGGTTGATTCATGCGTCTAACTTTTATAATCTGTGGCATGTATACATAGAACAAACCATTTATACTGATAATACTTTGGCTGTGTCAGGTAGGTCAATTTTTGTTTGTTTATTAATGTTTTAATTACTCAGTATATTCCGTAACGAAGTCATAACACCTAAATGAAGTACCTACATAAGCTCCTAAAATATTGACCTGTCATCTGTCTTAAAATTTAATGTGTTTGATTTTATAATAAATGTTTTGAGCAACTTAAAACATGTTTTATTAATTATTAAACCAAAAGCCCTTTATGCACTAGTAAAAATAATTATTTATTCTTATATCCGATATTTTAATGCCAGACATATGGGTGATTCTCAAAATAACTACACTTTCGGTTTATTATTTTTTTAATACTAAAAAGTTTGGTAATATTATTACAAGAGCATTTTTGTAAAGCTTTAGTTAAATCCTAAACTAAAATAAGATTGATATTGCATGCAAACCTTAATTTTTCTATTTATGGGTAAATTATGTCCACAGAAAAGACGTCCACTGAATGGACATCTATGTATATTATTCTCTATAAGAAAGGTAAATTTTAGGTTATGCCTTCGCATTTGTCATGTGCCAAAAATAAAAACTTTGACAATAATAATGACAATAATTAGAAAATAATTCAATACTTACTGTTTGAAATATAATTGTAACAGAAAGGACAGCCTATGCTTCTACACTGGAGCCTCGTACATAAACATGAACGCTTCTTTACAACCTTTCAAAAAAGAACTGACAAGGGGACTTAAATAACAAATGACAGGTTTTTTAATGACATAAAATTAACGGTTAACGTGAGTGGCGCGAAATACTTTTGAAATTTTGCACTTACAAATAAGTCCTCGGAATGGATCGAAACTGGTAACGTATAAATGACTAAACTACAATATTTAATTAAAAAGAATAAAAAGGAATATGAACCATATCTATGTATTTTTGGGGTATTTAATAATAATGGCAATTTTTTAGGTTTTTTTAATATGCAGGCTTTTCACTACATTAACTGAAACTTACCAACACGATATAGTCACGTTCCACGGAAAGGACAATATCTCTATTCAGATCAGTTTTTTGGGCGGTATTTTTTTTCTTATTTTTTTTTACTTAAAGTACTGTTAGTTAACGTTGTGTACTTTAAAAATGTTACTTATTTTTACCATTTTTTTTAATATGGGAGAAAAAAACACACGTCACGCAAAGATTGTAGTTATTTTGAGAATAACCCATATGTATGTGTTTCTTCAAAGATTAACTAACAATTTTTTTTTGATATTCTACTTTTTTACATACATTTATTTTGATTATTAATTATTTACTAAATATATATCTACTATAGTAGTATATATATACTATATATAGTAGGGTTTACCTATTTATTTCTTAAAATTTAAAAGTACAACTAAATTTTTTTTGTTTTTTTAATTTTGACAAAATCACATTTCGCATTGAAATATCTGATATCAGTATCGGTAATTATTTTTATCAGTGTATGACCTAATCATATATTATTCAAGAAATATTACGTGATTATTTACGTCAAATTACGTAAATAATTACGTAATATTACGTGATTTTACACGTGAAATCGCCGTGACATATTGTCGTCAATTTTACGACGATAAGACGTGTCTAAGTTGGTGACTTCGACGTCAACGGAGACGTAAATTAAACGTGATATTCACGTCACTGTGTTGCCTGGGATCTGCTTTTATACGTGAAGATCTACTTTCATCCGCGAACATCTATTTTAATCCACAAACATCTTATTTCATCCGCAAACATCTACTTTATTCCGCAAAAGTCTGCTTTATCCAATTTCACCTGCAAACATCTGCTTATATCCGAAAAGATCTGCTTTTATCTTTGAACATCTGCTTTAATCCACAAACATCTGTTATAATCCGCAAACATCTAATTTAGTCCGAAAAAGTCTGATTCATCCGATTTCACCTGCAAACATCTGCTTTTATCCGCGAAGATCTGCTTTTATCTGTGAACGTCTGCTTTAATCCGCAAACTTCTGCTTTTATCCGCAAACATCTGCATTTATCCGCGAACGCCTACTTTAATCCGCAAACATCTGTTTTAATCCGCAAACATCTGATTCTATCCGTAAACATCTGCTTTTATCCGCAAACATCTGGTTTAATCTCCAAACATCTGCTTTTATCCGCAAACATCTATTATAATCTGCAAACATCTGCTTTTATCCGCAAACATCTGATTTTATCCGCAAACATATGCTTTTATCCGCAAACATCTGATTTTATCCGCAAACATCTGCTTTTATCGGCAAACATCTGCTTTTATCCGCAAACATCTGATTTTATACGCAAACATCTGCTTTTATCCGCAAACATCTGCTTTTATCCGCAAACATCTGCATTTATCCGCGAACATCTCCAAACATCTGCTTTTAATTGCAAATCTCTGCTTTCATCCGCGTTTGGTTCCCTGCTTAAAATACCCCATAGAGACCCTGTTTAAACCGATACATATTAGTATCGGGATGTATGGTGTTTCTATAGGGTGTATCGGTTTGTATAGGACCCATAGTTGAGATTTATGGTTGTTCTATAGGGATATCCACCCTTGATTTATTTGCTATCGGTTTTAATGGGGAAAATACACATAAATGTAGAAATTAGTTTTCCCCTATAGGACCCCATAGGTTTTAATAAAATTTTGTCAAATGTTTTATGGTTGCTCTATAGGGATCTCACTATATATCCTTCATTGAGTTATTTGCTATAGGTCTTAATAAGGAAAATGTAAAAGTTATGGTGTGCCTATAGGTAATTTTCTATACATTTTCTATCGGGCCGTATCCGGAAAAAAACATGGACAAATGCACATATTGAATCCGGTAGCGCCCGATAGATTATTTTGAATAGGTCTCTATGGGGTATTTTAAGCAGGGTTTGCCTGCATTTCCTTTGTCCATTTCGGTCCTGTTTCGTACGCAAACGTCTGGTTTCATTTGCGCTTTTTGTTTTCCTTTTTCTCGTGTATACTCTAGTTAAGTTTACCTGCTTTGTCAAATTTTACTGAGCTTTAACTAACTGGTTGTTAGCCGTTCACGGCACACAACTTTATACATCTAAAAAGAATTATTTGAATAAAAACAACCTGTAAAGGAAATAAGTTTATTCAACACGACATTTTCCCAATGGGAAAATAATTTAATTATATTCACCAGATTTAAATTTAAAAATCAGGTATACTATAGTAAAGAGTACCACAGAAATAATAAGTATATTAATTCTTACATATATATTAAAAATATTGGTTATGCCAAAATTAAAAAGTTTTTAAAGTTAGATGAAAAATTCTACGCCTAAATAAGTGTTTTTTAAACAAATTCCATACAAATTGAAGATGTTATAATTCCAAATGTATTTAAAATTAAACATATATGTTTTCTAACAATTAATTTAAATGTAAGCTTAATGATTAAAAAATATCTATTTATACATATGTCCTTTAACAAAGACCTTATTTGTATTTTACCAAATAATATTGAAGTTCAATTTCCTTTACAGGTTGTTTTTATTCAAATAATTCCTTTTAGAGTTATAATTATAACTCTAAAAGGAATTATTTGAATAAAACTTTAAAGTTGTGTGCCAGTTAGTTAAAGCTCAGTAAAATTTGACAAAGCAGTTAAACTAAACTAAAGTATACACGAGAAAAAGGAAAACAAAAAGCGCGAATGAAACCAGACGTTTGCGTACGAAACAGGACCGAAATGGACAAAGGAAATGCAGACAACCCGAACGCGGATGAAAGCAGAGGTTTGCAATTAAAAGCAGATATTTACAGATGTTCGCGGATAAAATCAGATATTTGCGGATAAATGCAGATGCTTGCGGATAAAATCAGATGTTTGCGATTAAAATCAGATGTTTGCGGATAAAATCAGATGTGTCGGATAAAAGCAGATGTTTTCGGATAAAAGCAGATGTTTGCGTATAAAATCAGATGTTTGCGGATAAAAGCAGATGTTTGCCGATAAAAGCAGATGTTTGCGGATAAAATCAGATGTTTGCAGATAAAAGCATGTTTGCGGGTGAAACCGTATAAAAGCAGATGTTTGCGGATAAAATGAGATGTTTGCGGATAAAAGCAAATGTTTGCGGATGAAAGCAGATGTTTTCGGATAAAAGCAGATGTTCTCGGATAAAATGAGATTTCTGCAGATAAAAGCAGATGTTCGCGGATAAAAGCAGATGTTCGCGGATAAAATGAGATGTTTGCGGATAAAAGCAGATGTTTGCGGGGGTGCACTAACCGGATGAAATCAGGCGTTCGCAGATAAAAGCATGTTTGCGGGTGAAACCGTATGAAAGCAGGCGTTCGCGGGTAAAAGCAGATTGAAACAGGGAGAAAGTTGAAAAAACCGTTAAAATAATTCTTGGAAAGACCGGAAATTAAGAGCTTCTTAGAAAGAATTAGAAATCTTCAACATGTGCGAAATAAGTAATTTTGAAAAGAATATTTCAAATGTAACGTCAAAAACAAATTTATAGGGTCGTGTTTAAAGAAAATTCAAATAGAGGCCATAAAGGCATAAATCCATAAAGCAGGCTATCTTTATTTTGCCAAAGCCGCCAAACATATGGCAGCAACAATTTCTTTAAACGAAGAAGTTTAAGAAGTAAATGAAACGCGTCAAAAATATAATAAAATTAATATAATTAAAAAAAGTAACGAATTGATTCAGTTGAAAACTAAAGTTAGAAAAATAAAGATTATAGATTAGAAATAGGAGATTATAGACTAGAAATAAGACGTAAGATTAGGTAGATTGTATTGTAAATATGAAAGCGTGGCAGCTTATTAAAAGATAAGTCGCGATCAGCCAATATAAATTAAGTGTAGATGGATAAAAATCATAAGCATGGCTTAAACCAAAGGAATGCCCAATAAAATCAAACTCAGTTAATATGATTTAATAACCAGATATAAAAACAGTCGATTCAATCATTAGGCAACCTTATTTACTTTTAAATCATCCTTAAGATTATTATCAAATCTAGTAAATTATAGCATATCTTGAAGTTGGCGACAATGGCTGAAACTCCGCCCAATGCCTAGTCAAATTCCCACTAAGTTTGTTCCCGACCTTTCAAGTAGCAAGTTTCCGACTTAAGTCAAAGGTTAACGCCTCCTCCCTTAAGAATTATTTAAACGCTTAGATTAAAGCCAATAACCTTTCGTCCTTTTCGGTTGGTATGAGAGTTTATGACCTTTTGAACCAGTCAATTTTCTATGACCCTTGCGGGGGGGAGTTACCATGATTTTGACCAATGGTCTTTAAGAATTAATCCCTTCCAATTTTTCCTTAAAATAGTCTATAAAAAACCAACACAACCTTTGACTCGCCAGTTCTTATCTAAATTTTATCACGCTTTCCAAATCGTCTCAGATCTTCGCCAACTTCAGTTGATTCAGTGTAAGGTTTTTATAGTAATTATTGTATTTTAAACCAATTTGTTTAGATTAGATTCACTCCGATAAGTTTTGTTTAATTATAGTTATTGACTCTATAGAGTAAATCGCACTACGCATTTGCTTAGTTTAATTATTTGTTACATTTTCTTTTAGTTTATTTTTAGTTAAATTTCTTAATCTAGAGTTCTAATTTGTTTTGTAAACTAGTTCTTGTAAATTAAATCTCTGGAGTAACTTTAATGATCTATTTTTAATTTAACGTAACTTAATTTTACTTGTTTATATCTTTTCATTTTTATTGTTAACTCTTTGTTTGTTAATATATTTATAAAAGCATATGTTGGCGGGTGAAATTGGACTAGGCAGACGTTTGCGGGTAAAAGCATATGCTCGCGGATAAAACCAGACGTTTGCAGATAAAACCAGACAAAAATAGACAAAAAAAATGCAGGTAATCGCGGATAAAACCAGACGTAAGCAGACGTTTGCAGATGATTCCGGACAAATTCAGATATAAACGAAACACAGTGAAGACGGTTAAAAACAGATGATTGCAGATGATTGCGGGGGTGCACTAACCGGACATAAAACACAACCAACCGGGTGTTCATGGATATAGCAATGCGGACAAAAGCAGATGTTATCAGATGATATTTTTACCCGCTTTTATCTGCTTTTATCCGGCTTCGACGAAGAATTTATACCCGCAATCATCTGCTTTTATCCGGTTTTGACGAAGAATTTATATCCGCAATCATCCGTCATTTTCAGCAGGGAACTTTATAACCAATAAGTCAATTTAATTGCGGTAAATTGCAAAAAAATCACAAAACTGTGAGTTTGTTGCACTTGCCCCGTGTATACGTTCGTACTTATAATATGGGAACTAACCGGTGGTGGTGCACTTGCCCCAAATATGGGGCAAGTGCACCCACATGTAGGTATATATTTTTACAAAAAAATAGCTGTGGTTGCATATTACCTTTAACGCAGAGTTTAGATCTGCCATGAGATACACCACTAAGGGAGTTGTATACATGCCAAAGACTGGACTCTTACCATTGTTGTAAAGAATTTTATTAACTATTCAATTTGTGTGGGTGCATTTACCCCACTTCACCCTACTATTTGAATAAAATGAGAAAAATACGTCAACTTTTCTGAAAAAAAACCGGTTTTTTTTCGCCGGCTCAATTTTTCCGGAAAATTTGAAACCTTAAATTTTAGATAGTTTTTTGTTGGACTGAGAAAGAATACTTTGGGGGCCCTTCGGACGGGCGGATCGCCCCCCCTTAGTCCGCCACTGCATATAGATATACAAAATACATAAGATATTCTGCAGTCGGTGCCTTACCTGTGCCGAGCCACGGCGCTCAATCAACTTTAATTGAGAAGGTAAAATTCATAAATTTTGTTTGTTTTTAAGTATTCATTGCAACAATAGAACTTCTATTGTAGAAGTCGTTCTTCAGTATTTTTAGGCCAGCTCAACATGGCCGTTTTATGAAAATATTGCTTTATAAAAATAAATCGGATTTTTCGAATATTAATCAATTTATATAGCAATAAAAGTTGTAAAAGCAATAAAAAGGGTGTACATGTAAGTATTTTGCACATTAATGGATCACTATAAATAATATAAGTATTTCTCAAGGCATAAAAAGTAATTTTTTAACATAAGATATGTTATTTTAAACAACAATATTTTATTATAAAGTTTATTTTTAAACATATTTGGCAAATGCCAAATTGGAATTTTGTTGTTTTTAATGGCATTTTGAGGATTAAGTATGTGCACGGGTAAATTTAATAAATAAAAACAGGATTTAGTTAATTCTTTTTATTTTATAAACAAAATAATATTAAACATCGTTAAAATCACCAACGTACTTTGAAAATATCCTCATTATAAAAGTTATTACTTACTTAAGTCTATGCCATGAAATTTAAAATTTTTCATAAATTTACAACCCTGGTGTAGCAACTTTGGGAGTGGGGCCGCTTAATAAATGAAAAGACAACCACCAAGATAACATAGGTTGTGTTGCGGCTACGAACAGCAAAAAATATAACCTCCTTTTATTACCCGCTACGGGTTGTTCACCGTAATAACTGTTTTGTTGTTGTGTATTGGGCTCGGAGAGAACTTGGGCCTTTAGCGACCTTATGAGGAAGAAAGCCAAGGCCAAGTTGGCGTAAATTAAATAACTGTAATAGCCAGTTTTACCTCCAACCAAATAAACAGCTATGCTCATAATCGTACCAACAAATTTATACCCGATGTATGCTAACAGATCTAAAGTACTTAAAGAAGTCTCGACATGAATTAAATATAGAGTGCAGGAATATACCACTAATTCAACTATACACCAGGCTAGAGCTGAGGAAGCCAAAATTCCCAATTGTTCGGGGGAGAATCTCTCCTGCATCCCCAAAACCATTCCAGCTATCAGGACGTAAGTAATGTATGCCATCGTAGGTATGTACAAGTCGGGGGCATTTATTTCGAATCTTGGTTGGACTGGGCCGTCTTGTTCATATTTAACCGACCAATCCTAGAATAAATTTAAAAAATGTTGTAAAAATAAAAAAGAACGTTTCATAATATTTGTAAGTTATGATTTTAATTATGTTTTGTATATGTAAGCAATTTTAACTAGTTTTTTTGTAAATATAATTTAAAAAGAGCTTATAGGGCATGGATCATTTTTGATAGTTTTTGGTCATTTTAGAGGGTTTCCACAAAGATAATACTAATAATAATTATATTTGGGTTTCCATACAGTTAAGCTGGATTTATAGTTTTAAAGGTAACGGTAGAGGCAGCGGTAAAGGTAGAGGTAAAGGTAGCGGTAGCGGTACTGGTGGCGCATGCGTACTTTAATGTAGATTGTAATTTTGTTTGTAAAATTTGACAGAAAAAGGTTAAGTTTTCTACGAATACATGGATTGCGAGGACAATGCTTCTGGGCCATATGGCGTTGTGCGAAATATTGTATAATAAACCCTGCAAAACAATATATTATGTTGTATTGCAGGGTTTAAAGTACGTTATGGGGGTCGTCAAGTACGTCGCTATAAAACGAGAGAATTAAATCGGGAACGAGCTAAGAAACGCCATTTCCATTATTAAAATAAAATAAAACTGACCGATAAAGAGTAGTAGTAGCATAAAAACTAAACTTACAAGGCGAAACTGCTAACTAAAAACTGCCGTGTGATTGGCTGGAGTAGCGGTTGAGGTAAGAAAAGATGAAAGATGGTCATCTCTTGCCGCTACCTTCTTGCCTCTACCTCTCTAACCGCTACCTCTGACAACTATAAATTGTCGCGTACAATATACAATGCCGAACTCGGCTACCGCTACCGCTACCTTTACCTCTACCTTTACCGCTGCCTCTACCGTTACCTTTAAAACTATAAATCCAGCTTTAGGGTCATTTTAGATAGCTTAGACAAGGACAATGTCTATGTTAGATAGTTGTCATTTTAGAGTCTATAATGATTAAAACTGTATTAGAACTGTCTAAAATTTAGACAGTTCTAATACAGTTTTGGATCATTATAGATAGGTAGTTTTAAGTTAACCCTAGATTAATTTTAATCCGCGATTAAGTGCTAAAATACGTTGTACGAAGGTTAATCGAAGAATTTTCTTCTTCCACAAGCAGGACGTCTGACTGCTGTTAAAGACAATTTTAAATCAAGCTTAAATTATACAATAATTATGGCTTTCGCACAAATAGAAGAACTTGATGAATTAACCAAAAGCAAAGATTTTATACAATTGGCAAAAGTCGTGTGAAGGGCACCGCGTACTATACGTAAGAATAAATTAGAAGTAGGTACATGTACTTCTAACAAAAAAAATATTTGGCGCTTGTGCTGTTTTGACTTAACTATGGTTTCGCGTAAAAATCGAACAAATTTTGGACATTTGTTTGCAAGTGATGCCAGAATTGCATATATTTTTTTAAGCTTGTTTCTACATCTAAATGGTGCATTTTTTCAAAAAAAATTTTTTATCCATTGACCGCCGTGGGTTTTAGGCCTTAAGTCACTCTACTGTGTTAAAAATAGATAAATTTCGATATTTTGTAATAACATTTTTATTTAAAAACGTATCGATTTGAAAATAAGATAAAATGTAGACTTTATTAGTGGCAATAAATCCACGTTTAATTTTTTTTAGATTTTACCATACAGGGGGCGCTGGGGACAATTTAATTTAAAATTTTACCATTTTTTAAGGCTTAAAAAGTCGAAGAAGCAACGTTGTTTTATAATTTTGAGTATATCACGTTAAAGTACTGATAATTAACAATTATTTGATATATAAACTTTTATATGCAAATTATGTTTCTACGAGTTAGGCCTTCAAAGGGCATAATACTAATGTGTTGTACAAATAGGGTTGCCAACTATGAACTTTGCTAAACCGGGACATAGGGCGTGGCCATCTGCTCAGAGACTACAAGGCATAATAATTTTGCATGCATAAGTCAATAATTTTATTAAAAACAAAGACATCAAAATAACAAACGATATTCTTATTAAACTAAAATATGAAATCCAACAAAATAATATTACTCTAATTTATCTACTTATTTTTAAACTTATATTTTTCCTGACTTGCGCAAGCCCTTAAAACAGTTTTTTGGCTTTTTATGAATTCATGAAATTGAAGGCAAGTCATGTTTAAATTCAGTCTTATCTGAATTTCACTTCTAAGAACATTCTCGGACAGTTTATTTCTCTCATCTCTCCAAACTAAGTTCATAAGACTAAATACTCTCTCACAATAGGCATTTGATACAGGAATCGATAATACATAACTTACCAGCCTTTTCAATTCTTTGGCTTGAATTTCGTTATCAGATAGAAATTTAAAGCATTTCGTCCATGTAACATCAAGTGAATCCTCCTTCATGTCTATCTTTATGTTATTCAGATTTTGATTTAAAATTCTAGATATGCTACAAAAATCTTCGTACATATCATCAAGATTTAGACCTAAACAGTCCTTCAATATACGTGCTAAATTTAAAATCTTTTCCCAAGAAAATTCTTTTCTGATGTTTAAGGCATCAAATTGTTTGAAGATACTTCCATTAAAATCGTAATACTTATTGATGTATTCCATAACTTTGTTATAAAACTTTGATGCACACTTCTCAAACTCAATCTTTTTATTTGCATTTAGTCGTTTCAAAATTTGAGCAGCCATACTGCCATAAAAGTTATCAGTTAATCTCTGACTTATGTTTTCCTTCACCATATTTAGAATACCATCTAATTCTATGGCAGTTGTCTTATTATTTTCTAATTGCAACAAAACCTTCTGAAGCATAAACATGACATTTTGAAAGAAATACATAATACATAAATAAAATGAGTCGTCATCATTTTCTTTAAACACCTTCCACAAAAACGGTGTACAGTTTTCCTCTCCTTCACTGACGAAATAAGATTTTACTGCAGGCCAATTGTTTAGTAGCCTATCTAGCGCTTCATAGAGTGTTAACCAACGGGTAGGGACATGACGTAAAAGTGTTTTGTATTCAATATCAACAAATTCAAAAAATGATTTCAGTTTTTCTGTTCTTTTGGAAAAAGACGAAAACTCGTTGAAGACCTTTATAACAAACGCCTCTACGTCAAATTTAAATGCTTTGCTTGCTGTTTTAACGGAATTGTGAATTACATGACATTGACAGTTAGATTTGATTAAAGATGTATTATCAGATGCTAATTTTTGAAAGACAGATACATTTTTACCATAATTCACTGCTGCATTATCAGCTGAATAACTAGATACATTCTTAATATCTAGGTCATTTTTTAATAAAATTTCTTTAATTTTATTGTATATAGCCTCGCTTGTTTCTTGTTGATCATTATAAAAATCTAATACGCCCTGTTTAATCCCTTTGGACCATTTAAAATATTGCACTATTAGAGGAAACATCTTAATATTTCCTTTATTGGAAGCATCTGATCCTATAGAAAAATATTTTGATTCTCTTAAATCTGATAAAAGCATTTCTTGTGATTTTGGCGCCAAAACATTTTCAGCTATACTAGTAGCCTTTGTACGACCACACCTCACTTTAGCTGCGATTTTTGAATCACTATAAAGGACAATGTTTAATTTGGAAGTGCAATCCTGGGCCAGGTATGAGAAATGATGAACAACTCCATGATATACCTGCGTCAACTCTGTAGCGGAAACCAATAGCTCTTCATCCGTATGTCTTTGTATAAAAAAATTGGCTGCTGAACTACTCGACGCCGCTGCACGTATGCACTTTTGATGATTTGCCGATTTTGCGTGGTTCTCAAGAGCTCGAACGACTTCATATTTTATTGTGATTACACTTCTACAATATTTGCATTTTCCTCTAGACACATCAACCTCGGTTAACCAAGAAAATTGCCCCATCCACCTCTTGTCAAATGAGCAATACCTTTTTATTTTTTTCGGAGGAGTTCTGGTTTTATCATCTTCGTGGTCGGACATTTTAGTTTGCTTAATAATTTAACCTATGAAATATTTAAATCAATGGAAAATATTTGATGTTCGTACGGTATGAATGAATCGTACCTTTTTTTATCATATTAACTTGCATTAAAAACTAGTCTGCGGATCCGGCGCCGGCTGTTGAAATAATTTACCTAACCACACTTTTCTTCACCTCAGCAAACACTTGGAACATCATAGAAATGACACTGCTATTTCTATGTGGAACAGGGATTATGACCAACACGCCTGCCAACCGACAGAAATTCTAATAAGTGCAACGTTGCCAACTCTGTACATTCTCCATCTACATCAACAAGTTGACAGTCGTCAATTAAAACGAAAAATGAATTATGCCTAATGTTCGTTGTTAAAAATTGTTAAAAATCAATCAAAATTATTTTAATTCCGGGATTATCCCGTGTCCCGGGCTATTTTGTTTTTCGCCTGGACATATGTGCTTGATTCCGGGATATCCCGGCCAGTCCCGGCCAGTTGGCAACCCTATGTACAAAGTATATATTCTTTTATCTAGTTTTATAAGATTATGTATTGTATATTACATATTATACATTATATATTACATATAATATATTATATATAACATACAATTCTTACATATTTATTTTAAAAAGTCGCCATAGATGGAGCTAAAATTACTTTTATTTATAAATTTTAATTTTTTTCAACTTTACTAATTTTGATCATAGTATGCATCATAGACTTTTCTCTATGGTAACCTACAATTGTAGCATGAAATATAATTTGACAGTTCAGTTTATAAGTTGCAAATGACTGATTGCGTTTCAATTTATAAGTGTACTATAAACTCAAAACATTAATTTTTTTTAAATGAATAAACTAAATAATAATTATAGACAGTGTCAGCAAGTTAGACATAATAACCTACTTATAGCTACTTTAATTTTATTTTTTGCTGCACAACCAAGCTTCAATTTATTTTTTACTCGATAAGCAAGCTTTAATTTTCATTCCAAACTGAGGAAAGTAATATTTACCCAATAAATAAATTAGAATAAAGACTTTATTTTTTATGTTGCAATTGGCTATTTAGATATACCTATGTATATTTTTTATTAAGTTGGTTTTTGCTTTTTTGTAATTGGTTATTTTGCGTTTTTTTATATTTAATATAATGCCATACAGGGTGTTTCTGAAGAAACGCAAACGATATAGATTTGATATTTTAATAGCAAATACAATTTGATATAGACTATACAATTATTAATAGTTTTCAAAATATTTTTTTTTTCTTTAAAATTTTGCTAAATGCACGTTAATCAAAAATAGCATCTAATTTTTTTGTTGTTATGTTTGCTGACATGGGGTTGGAATTTTTGGAATATTAAAACATTGTTTAAATAATTTTTTAAAGGTTTTTCAACAAATAGCTTAAGAAAAAACACTTGAAATTAGGCAAAGTTCAAACAATAATAACGTTTTTATTATATATATGTAAAACCCTGTATGTTTTAAAAAAAATTAAAAAATCTTTCGATTGGTATTATAATAACTGTTTCCCAAAGTTAAAATTTCAGAGACATTTAACAATTTCTAATATTTTTAATACTATTTTGTTTCAACAAACCTGTGAAATTATACATGTGGGTTAATGTGATAGTATTCATGTTTACCACCAAATCCATTGTTTAAAATTAATTAAAATATTTGATTGAAAAATTAGTAATTTGAGAAATATTGACTTTAGGTATAGGATATCGTATAGCCATTTTATTCAGAATTTTATGTAGAAATAAAAAATGTAAAAATATATGAGGTTTACTGTTTACAATAACAAAGTTAAAGACATTTCCGGTAAAACAGGAAGTACCTACCATTTTGTTCAAAATAATTTAGAAAAATAGACTTAAATGGATTGTAAACTCTTTTAAAATTTCAAATAGATATTTTTTCCCGTTCCCTAGAAACTTATAATGGACCACGAATGTGGAACACACTGTATATAATATAATTACGTATATTAGTGGCACACTAAAGTCTAAATCGAATAATTTACGCTATTAAAAATTTAAATCGATGACTTTCGCGATTCCCCAGAAACTTCTAACGGACTACTTACGTGAAACACCCTGTATATTAAACGTCCTTTATGTGTTATGTTATACTTAATTATTAATAAAAGATACAACAATATTAGTATAAAAATGACAAAATGTACCAAACTTAACATTTATGAATACTGCTACTGGTAATTAAAAACTGATCCTGGCCACAGAAACATCATTTGCATAAAAAAGTTAATATATCAAATAATAGTCAAATATCAATACTTTAACGTGTTATACTCAAATTTATAAAACAATGTTGCTTCTTCGATTATTTACTCTTTAAAAATTGTTAAATTTCAAATTAAATTATCACCAGCGCCCCCTGTACGTTACAATCTAAACAAAATTTTTAAATGGAAGAATTTTCATTAGTAAGATCTACATTTTGTCCAAATTTCAAATCGATACGTTTCGAAATAAAAAAGTTATTTAAAAAAAATAAAATTTCTTAATTTTTAACACAATGAAGAAAAAAATAAATATAAAAACAAAGTTGTCAATGGAGGAGATTTTTTTTTTGAAAAAAGTACTGCATTTACATGTAGAAATATGGTAAAAAAGTTTCAATCGATTTCTTGAACCCTTGCAAATCGACCGTTCGATCCTTTCGCGAAACCGTAGTTAAACCCATCGAAAAATACATTTATTTCTATATAAAAATAATTTTAAAAGTTGTATTGTCCGTCTCCAATTAATCCACTAAGTAGTAGACCGAGCACTGCTGCAATAGGTATACTATAGTAGCTGCTCACCGAACGGTCCCTACGCGTCCCTACCCTTATTTTTTTCGACTTATTCTTGGGATCCCATCTTCATATTACATCAAAATTTAGGGAATTGAAAAAGCTTTCTTTTAATATTAATTTTTAAAAAATCCAATGTGTCGCATTTCGAGAAAAAAACAAATATATTTTTAAAATCGTTGTTTTATAACCAAAAAATTTTTTCTCGCTTTCGAGACCATTTTTATCGTAAAGCGTGGAAAAAATGCTATACGATATGTTGATTATCAATTTGAAAAAAAATTATATACATGAATATTTCGACGTCTTTTAAGCGCACGAGAAAAAAAAAATTTTTTCAGGCCCCTGTATCTCTGCAACCCGCTAATCCTTTTTGCCCCCCATTTGGAAAATTAAGGTAGTCCAATAGGACAATGATTTGGCAAAGTTTTGTTAAATTCGGAGAAAACATCATTTTTAGGTGGGAACACTTGAGGTGTTTTGCCCCATATAAGAAAAATAGGACAGAAATTTCAAGTTAGCATTAAAATGATACTTGGATGGTAAACAAAATGCATTTCATTTGAGGAGTGATTTTTCAAAAGGCCTTATTTCCATTTTTACTTGAATGTAATTTTTTGGCAAAATCCCAAAGGTATGTTTAAAAGGCATATATTAACGGCGAAATATGACAGCAGGTCTGAAGTATTATTAAATATTCATCAGATTTTTTTTTTTAAATAATCTATATTGCCCTAACCTATACAGGTTAGAGTCATTTTTTTGAAAAATTGTTTCAAATGGAAATACGACCTTTTGAAAAATCACTCCTCATTTCTATTATCGAATTTCTTTCTTTTTCATCTATCATTTAAATGAAACATTGGTATAAATGTATAATAAATAGTAAAACGGCGTTCAATACCACTGCTTGTAGTATGAAAACGAATGTACAGCCTAACTTGTTTTCTGAAACTGTTGAGTTTTCGATATAAGTTTATTAAAAAAATTAATATTATTTTAACGTTTTTATTGATTCTCAAACTACTTATATATAATTATTAAATGTTCCTTTTGGACCACACTGTATAATACTACGAGTGATCAAAAATATGTCGATTATTTTGAGGTGTGATCCAAAGATATCATCTTTGGTGTGATCTAGCGAATATTGTTTGTGCTTGCTTTAAATAGTACAAGTGCGCAGCCCAAGTACTATTCAGGGGCGGCTCGTCAGGGTAGGCGCAAAGCACGTCAAGTTGACGCGATCAAATCCACTACATCGTTGAGAGTCGGCAGGACAGAGGCGAATTATTCACAGCCTGGGAAGCTGCTCCTATTTAAATGCGAAATATTATACAGCCAAGTTCGCGTTTATCTGTTTCTTTGAGGCGAAATAATAATAGCTTAGGTTGTTCTGATTGGTGGATTTATATCACATGACCGTAGATTGTTGGGTGTCGTTCACACGGTGGGGGATTTAGTGTGCTTCCCACCGTGTATAGAGTGGGTGTTCTTGTTTTGATTTAGATTAAATTATTTAAAACTTTTGGCTGATCTTTTATTGTTTTTGTCTCGATTAGTGTAATTTCTTATTTTATTATTGTGGTGCACTGGGGAACACACTACACAGATAAGGTAGATTTAGCAGTTTTTATTAAGCAACAAGTTGTATTGAGTTTTAATTAAGGTTAGGTTTTCAAAATACCGTTAAGTTTTCTTTAATTAAATATTACTGTTTTTTAAATGAATCCTGATGACATTATTCTCTTAATAATTGAAACGCCTTTTTTTTTAAGAAAAAACGAAACTAAAAAACTCAGATATTGGGCAGTCGTCCAACGCCAAAAATTTTATAAATATTTAACGATAAGAGGCAGGGTAAGCAATATTAACGAACTTTTCAAATATCTTAGTACAAAACCTATAAGTGGCTATGCGAATGTATTTATAAACAAAGCTTATTATGTTGGCATTGTATTTTATTAGGCCGCGTCAAAGACAATTGGAGTTCAGGGGGTGGGTATTCCAATTGCTCTAAAATTTTATTTGTTTTATATGTATTAGGGTGTCCGTTATTTACCAACTTGGTTTTATTTTTCGCAGCGCCCCCTAAATGTTTAGTTAATGACCTAAACAAAATTATCAAACTCATATAAGCCCTTAATATTCATATTAAACCTTGCCACAAAGACGATACATTTCCAATTTAAATAACATGGGGTTTCGGCACGTTTTGCATTTAATTTTTCTTCCGAGCAAGTTAATATACAGCAATAAAAAATAGACACATTTTTATAGGAAATGGAACGCTGTACAAAAAAGCTTTCTTATGATTTTTCGATAAATTCACTGGTTTAAAAGTTATTTAAGGTTAAAGTTGAACTTATAGTAATTTTTTAAATATGACTGCAAAACTATCATTATTTTTATGAAAATGAATTGTTAATTTTTGAAAATATGTGATTTTATTTTATTATTGAAAAAGTAAAAATTATAATTATTGAAAATATATAAGTGAAAGTTATTGACAAGAGATTCCGATAAATAATTTTTTTTTATTACATTAAAAGAATCTGCTACCTACTACCTAGTTTTACTCAATTTTAGTACAATTATTTTTTTTACATTTTTTTTTATTTCTGGGAAATTTTACAAAATTTTATACGATTTTATAAAATATTATACAATAATA